CAAAACAATGACCCATTCTACTGCTCACACTGCTTTTCTCACCCATAATCTGCCATCCGCACTAGTTAAATCGAGTTTTTAGTTCAGTTTTCAGCATTTGAAACATGAGGCTAATTTTGACCCCGTGATGTCGCAATTTTGGCCTGCCCGGGAAATAAGTGGATATTTTTAACTGAAACTTGTCAGCCAATTAGAGAAGAGGATTTATTCCCTGGGTAGAAGACAAAATGAAAGACTCGAGGAGAACGATGAGAAATAATAGATATCCAGTTTTAGTCCAATTTCAAGGTGTTTTTGACCAGATTTTCTTAAAACGGTATCAAAAAAAAAAGTCAATTTCTCCTGAACACTTCATCCAATTTTCAAAATTCTTGCAGCATTGACCTAATGTGTTTTTTCCAACCAGACTTTGCCTTTTTACAGATTTTCATTTCTGGGAAATCAAATTCTGTCACTTTGATAGTTAAAAGAAAAAAAACTGCTGCATGTTAGGGTTGCATTCCATTTTTTCTGAATTAATGCAAACTCCAGGAGCGCGTGAAAGTGATAAATGGATATTCCTGCAGCAGTTGAATAAAAGTTCCTGGAGCTGAATAAAACGTCCCTCCATCCAATGATGAAGCACACTTGGCCTGCTTGTCTTTACTCGCTCATGCAAGAGCCTGCCAGGGCAAAAAAGGCCCAGGATAAACTTAAACCAATCCTTGACTGCAAATATAAATAAGTTTGGTGAACGTTCTAACCTACTTTCTGACTTACCAGATGTTTGCCATTTCTTTATTCTGGTGGTATATGAATGCTGTTAAAAGTAACATATAGACAGCATTCATCATTAGAAAAAAAAAACTAAACATCATAATAAATCAGAGCTTTTATCAACCATTTCAATGTACTGCAAACAAAGTTTGTGGATTTATTAAGGAATACTTTCGTCACTTCACCCATCTAATGTTTGAATATTGAAAGTGTTGTCATCTCAAGGGACATATTATTTAGGTCACCATGGGATTATACGGGTCCTTTGGCTAATTGTAGCAGCATCAGTAAACAATAAGACTTCAGGACGTCTCTCCGGTGCAACCTACTCTGGGGTCCATTAAATGTAAAATGACATGTTCAGCATCTCTCAGTGGGTGTGCATTCTGTCACGGCCAGTTGGCTTTGTTAGACATAATGTCAGAAGTAATTCTTTCTTAGACCTTTTGTTTGATCTTGGACAAGTGTGTCTCAACGGCCCCCAAGCCATCCCCTCCCGTGCATGTGTGTACTGTGTCGGGAGAGGGGCTCTCAGCTGCCCAATATTAATCTGACAGTCTACCAACACGCGCGCGCACATGCACGCACGCGCGCGCACACACACACACACACACACACACACACACACACACACACACACACACACACACACACACACACACACACACACACACAGGCGCGAGAACGCACGCACAACTACAGTACTACACTTGAATGCAAAATAATGCCCTAATTTGGAGTAAACGGACACTTAACAGTTAACGCAAAACGGTTGTAGTGTTTATATGAGTTATTTCCCCAACCGTAGAAGCCCACCTCAAGTCGAGAAAAAAAGTTTATCTTTACGTATGTCGTTAACTTTTTTTTTTAAAGACGAAAATCGAAAAGAAAACGTCACTAAAGAGGTGGCGGTGAGTCATACGCGTCTAAAATGATTCCGATCATTGCTTTGTTGGAAAGAGTGTGTGAAGAAGAGGATCATGCGTCCTACCTGATTAGAAAATGTAAGTCGAGGGTTTCTCTCCCGTAGGAACCGTTGACTTCGGACCGAGGGACATTTGCAGCGGTCTGTTCTCCACGCAGAAGGCGCAAAGTCAGCCTTGAAAAAGTCCCCACTCAAAGCCTACTGTCTGAACTTGGTACAAAACAGGTCCAAAACTGTGTGATGTGCTTTCTTGGATAGTTTGTTTAATTCAAAGTTCCGGGTCAGTTAAGTACCCAGGGTAAAAATTTTCCTTTAGCAAAGGTAACTGATTTTTGACATACCAATTCCGGTTAGAGCATTTCAAAATAAAGCTAAACCAAAAGCCATTTGGGAATATAGATGAATTGGACGCAATTCCCAGTTTGGACCATGGTTTTTAATATAAACTATGCAATTTGGATATATTTGGACTCATACTGTTAAAAACACACGGGGTTAAAATGGCGATTGACAAAAAAATGTTAGTGTTTTGGAAAAGAAAGACAGGAACGTCTATGGAAAACCAATTTCTGCACTGGTGTGACTGTCCATTTCTTTCCTTAAATCCGACGGACACTAAAGGCTAGAGTAAAATGTTTTAGATTCCATTAACTTAGAATGTTGTTTGTGTGTTAAATGATGAAATGCATGAGAGGATGTGACCCAGCTACCCCCTGAGATGTTCCTGTAAAAATATTTAACGTCAGGAAGAATCATGCCAGATAACAAAGTGATAATAATTCACTTCACAGCTTTTCTTATTTGAAATAAAGACAGTTAATTGATGGTTGCAATTAGACATGATCTTATCCTCTCTTCAAAATAATACAATCCCTCGATCTAATTCACACAAATACTTAGTGTCACTGTGTATTACATTTTACATCTCCAATTTTGAAAACCTCATTCAACACTGAGCAGCAAAACATTACAACAGAAAATCTACAATTAGGTACGAGTCTCATCAACTATTCAGAAATGTAGTAAGTATAACAGCAACGGGACACTGTAAAAAAGGTCAGAAAACCCCAAGATTTCAGTGTTAATTTATTTACATAATACGCAATACAGCTCATGCAGATATCCAAGGCCCAGGGGCCAGAGCTGGTCCGCCACATCATTTTAATGTGGCCCGCGAAGGTAAATTATGTACCTTGATTTCTTATGTCAATCACACTTCTAAAATAAATCGAACAAAAGTTGAACACATATTTTGTTACTGGCTTCTGGTTTTAAAAAAATAGTGATCCATCAATTTGTGGTGTACTGTATATGTAATAATACATGGCAATCATACATTTATACAGACGGACAACATTGTTGGTACAGTTACATAAAATTATTTGATTGCAGTGGTAACCTCAAAGGGTTGTGCGACAAAATACAAAAGGCTCATCATTTTGTAAGCTGGCCTGTTTCATGAGTTTTCCTTTTTAAATTAATTCTCTGGAACCACAATGCTTTTGCATTGCAATGTGTGATTTTCAATGGTTACATCTTTATATATTACTTTTTTCAGATTCAAGTTATTTATATGATCACTGTTTTTTTTTCTTTCATTAAAAGAGGGGTACCAACAATTTTGGCCATGTCTGTATATGGGTTCACAGTCATAACGGCCCTCCCATGGGAACCATAACCATGATGTAAAAATGAGTCAGACACCTCTGCAAATACAGCTTGCCATGTGTCCATCTATTCTAAACTAAAAGCTATGGGAACGTACAATTTCGACTCCATCACACAAACTTTACTCATCCAGGCGTGCTCTCCTCACCTCTAAAATTCAAAGTGATCCTGGTCTATTTGAAGGAGTACTCACAAAACAATGGCTGGTGATCAAGGACTGAATAAGTACAGCCCATTTGGCCACAGTGATGTAAAGTGCATCGCGAGAAGATGCTTTGATGGTCTAGCAAGTAGTGGCGATAAATTCCATATATTCTAATTGTAGAGCTGCAAATTACTCACAATAATCCTTTAATATAACAAGCAGGCCAAAAAAAAAAAAAAAAAAAGCTATACTATTTCGCGTATGTACAGTGTGTCTGGGGAAATAAAAAATACACAAGGGATTTTACAGAACACTTGTAGAATGATGAAATTTGTGTTAAACAGTAACAATTGACTTCTTCTATGTATGTATACAAAGGTGAAAAAAGCCAAAGGGAGCATTTCAGAAAGACTCAAAAACAAATATGTATCCACTGTATGCTGAGCATAAATGAACGGAAAGATGTATCTCACCGCCTTTTTTTTTTTTTATAAATTCATGATTTTTACATCCAACTGAACAAAATACATGGCAATTACTGGACAAAGCTGCAAGGCAAATCACATTTTTTTTGTTCAGCAGAGGGGAGTACGTTGGTATTTGCTAAATATCTTATGGTTCATATAAATACAGTCAAACCTCGGTTGTCGAACGTCTCGGTTCTCGACCAATTCGGTTTTCGACCAAAAATTTCAAGTTTTTTATGCCTCGGATGACGAACAAATTTCGGTTCTTGAACAAACTGAGCGCACTTGAATGCACCACTTGACTCCTCTCGCTTTCCTTACACGAGGAAATGACGCTTCCTCGTGTCGCTTTCCATTGTGAGCAGACGTGTTCGATAAACATTCTTTTTTTTTAAAAAGAGCGTGGTTTCAGTTTACGAACAATTTCGGTTTTCGAACAGCCTTCTGGAACGTATTATGGACGAAAACCGTGGTTTGACTGTAGCATTAAAACTTTCAAGGCCTCAAAGGACTATGAAAATAAAGCACATCAAGTTCAAGTACGTTAACTTGAGCTGGATAGTTTAAGACAAAAAAAAAAAAAAAAAAAAAACCAACAACATCCCAATTCTTTAAAAACACACTGCAATGTTCAACTATCAAAATGGAAAAACAAATGTTCAAAGAATAAAATTTGTCAAACTTCAACATTTCACTTATGATTATTTTTGGTCCTTTGCACTTCTTTAGAGATTTTTGCACTTTTTGCACTGTCCTGCTTTCGAGACTAGGGAAACACTGAGAGGGAAAAAAAACACTACTCAATGTTTTTATATATTTGTATGACTTAAGATGTTTACGTTGAGTTTGATGTGTGTATTTGCTAACTATTTCTATGCCTGCACTACAAATGTAGATGGTTCGACAATGGGCTGCTAAGACAAAATATATACTTTATGTACACAAAGATAGTGCATATATAACCAGCTGTGTTTGGACTGATGCAAGCCATGTGTGAGCAGCTGGTGGTTGATAAAGGCTGCGCTCCGTTACGTTGTCATGACTGGACCTGATAGGAAGATGTTTTTTTTTTCTTTCCTGAAGACACCGGACTTGTACAAATCCCACATAATATGCACATAGGCAAAAGCCTTCACACATTCATTTGCAAGAACATACATAGATGTAACATTTACATACATATAAACAACAATCCAAAAATATATATATTTTTTTCTGTTGTGTTATGATTCTTGGAAAAGCTGAAAATAAAAATTTGGGATCTCGCCGGTGGTTTCCATCCCGTGGCTGAAGTGGCGCGACTGAGGTCAGGTTGAGCTCCCCGCTCAAAAGGAGTCTGTCAACACTGATCCAGTTTGTATTGTTTCATGCTCACCTTCACAGTCAACGAAGGGAGTTAGGGCGGCATTAACCTCGAGGGGTTCCCCTCTGTGATGGTTGTCTTTGGGTCAGAGGTTTAAAATGGGAACATCAAAGAGGTCACACAGGCCTTCCGTCTCGTCCAGGTTGTATATGTAGTCGTGGTCACTAGGTGGGGGCGACAGACGCAGGAGGGGCGAGAACACTAAAAGCAGATCAGGAAGAGAAATGTATAAGGCCAAGCCATACAAGCAAATAATAATAATAATTAAAAAAATTGACTTCAACGTGGTAACACCAATAAATCGGGCCAATGTGCAGCATTTCGAACAAAAGTTAGCATCAACCATATTATCAGATATTCTGTTGGATTATCCTGTGGGGCGAGTTATTATAAGAGTGATTTTTCCTCTGTTCATAAAAAGGTCGGGGCCGTCCGTCAATGTTGAACTGTGTTCAATATTCATGATCATTCGATGTGTGGCCAACATCTAGTCCAGTGAACCATGGACTCTGTGATTGTGACATGAAACAGAATGCTAGGCAATCACGAAGCGATCAGACGCTTGTGCTGTTATAGGCCACAAGTCGTGAGCAAATGGTTGTGAGTCTAGTCGTATTCATATACCGTGGTTCCAAAGTCATTTCATCTCAACCACAATGTAGATACCAGATAAACAACAGTTAGCCTAGTTTCTTCTACTACTAATTCTCCTGCCCTTCCTCTTCTTTGTATTTGAGCGTAGTACGGACATCTATCTTATGAGGAGAATCACAAATGTAGTTGGAGATGTCATGTGATGTGTCTCAAGTTGACAGCGATGTAAGAGCAGTAACAACACATGACACCCCCCCCCTCAAAATATGTGACGTCTCACATAAACCCCCAAAAATACTGAAAATTAAAATAAAATGGTATCAGTGTGTGTATCCCGCTTCAGACAATTGTAGTTTGACCAACACATTATGGCAAAAAGAGAGATAGAGAGAGAGAGAGAGAGAGAGAGAGAGAGAGAGAGAGAGAGAGAGAGAGAGAGAGAGAGAAATAAATTTATGTTTCACACCTTCTGATGACATCAGGTCCTCCAACAAATCTCCGCTCATGATCTCTGCAAAATAAAGATACCGTATGTAAGTGCATTTTTTCCTAAAGGCTCCCTTCGCATTACAACAATTTGTCAGTCATTTATTTCACCTTTTGTCGGATCAAACATTTCCGAAAGCTCTTTGGGAAAGTCCAGCACTGTAGAAATCAACACAAATAAAGCAACAATTTTGTCTACATAGCACACAAGTAAAATGGACATTGTTATTCTCGACACGAAGGAATTGAATGTAACACTGAGTATATGCATGATACATACTGTCCACACACGACACTGTTTTCAAGAAACAGTGAACAAGAAAGTAGAATCTTCTTAAGCCTGAGTAACCTCAAATTGATCTTGGCTTGGCAATACTTGCCAACTCTTCAGAAGCACTTTGGATGTGCGAGATTATGAGAGCATCTGTGCTCAGCCCTCTTCAGATCAACCCAAATTCACGTCTTCTGGGTTATGACCAGGCCAATAAAACCTTTCATTGATTTGGATGCTTGCGTGAGGTCACTGTCATTCCGAAAACTGTCTTGGCTTTTCAACTTAAGCTTCATGTTTCGGAAGAAAATTGACTACTGTACTAACTGAAAGTGATCCTATGTCCCTGGAATATGATTAAAACAAGTCCAAAGATGCTGCAATGTGCTTTTTGCGCATTTAAAAAAAAAAGTATTTTAAGTATCCACCGATTTTCTCCTTTTTTAACTGAATTGGCAGTTTATAGTTCACACTGACTTGTTGTATTTCAGTTGCGCATCGTAACTCTGCTGACTACGACGTGACTAGATAGGCGTGCTCACGTTCAGATGGGTCTGACTTCATTGGTTCAAACACTGCAGACGCAGATGATGATGTAGATCCATCCAAGGAGGCAGAGGATTGAAGTTGCTGAGGAACGGCAGTGGGAGCATCTGTGGTTGGCTTGAGCGGCGTGGTGCTCGTGACTTCTGAAACAGAGCGGGTCATGTAAGATGACGTGGCAAATAACCGATAATAGTGGCTCTGTGCACCACTCTCAATAAAATGTACTGGCCGCAAGTGACCACAAAGTTCCAGTCGTTTGGGCATCCTTCACTTGTTTATGCAACTGTAGATGTATAATAAATACAGTATTAGAACTGGTATCTTAAACTGTGAAATGTCACTCAATATATGGGGAAAATATCATAAATGGATCAAAATTGAATAGAAATAGACTCTTTGGCCTCTGTAACAAGTACGGTACAGTTACTCGCACATAGTATGGATGTGATACAAACAATATGATCCACACACCCAACAAATAAATCATCAGTTGACAGAATCTCATGTATTAAAAAAATACATTAGACAAATTAGTGACTTTGTTCCAGACCTGTAACTGAGGTTGGCTGGCTAACGGATGATGTTGTGGAACAACCACTTTTCACAGGTTCTGGAGCTGCTTTTGGAGCCTAGGCGGAGCAATTGAGAAGGGTGAAAAAGGAAGTCACGTCGAGGCATATGATTTGCATTCGATTAAAAACACGAGAGAGTTTTTGTATGCTTTTCTCCACAGTTAATGGACCAAACCAAATGAGACTAATAGTAAAGCTGACATCTGGACCTGGGAGGAGGGCGACGGCGCTGGGAGGCTCTGAAGTACGTCATCGGGAGGAGGGACAGGCAAAACAACTGGAGAGGCACTGGACGGGTCCTTGTTGACTAGTAAAACCTCAATGGGGCCAGAAGAACTTTTCAAACGGATCTGATATTTCTTTTGTCCATTCAAAACCTGTATTTACACATGCGCGGTCAGAAAAAAAAAATACACAACAGCAGAAGGTGGCCATCTGAAAATGTGATACGCACAGTACTTACAGATTCTGGTCTGGGCACCTCTAGCTGAGTGCCAATGGGGGCACGTATCGCTAGAAGCGTATCACCTGCGGAAGGACACATCATCGGCGATGGCTCATGAAACATTTGAAATCATAAGGCTGAGGTGACAGAACAGAATAAATGAGACTGAGTTTCACAGAGGACTCACCTTTGAAAGCTCCACAGAGGTCCTCATGTTTCACATATGCCATAGTATAAATGCGTTAAGGGCCAATTGGTCAGAAACAAACATTGTCCGAGTCCGATATTCTTCAGAAAGCCATTTTCCAAAAAGCGGAATAGTTCAGGATGAATCCTCACCAACCCATTGGAAACAAGTCAGACCTGTGTTTAGTGCTGCAAACCATGCCACGGCGAGCTGAGCCGTACCACTTGCTGTAAACCTGAGAGTGTGTGTACAAGTTGCAACACATTTTTTTTTTTTTTTTTACAGATTAATAGTAACTAAAAAAGGATATGGACTGTTGTTGGAGTCGTCTGTGACATTTTTGATGCTCTGCTGCACCCAGACTCTCTGCTGGTCCAGCTCATGTTCTCTGACGGCCAGATCATCAAGTTCTGCCTTCAGGTCAATCAGCTTGTCCGCTATCTCTCTTGTATTACAACCTGGGCCAACACCCCTGAAACACAAACACAAATAAATGATCAAAAACAGACAAGCACATTTGTCACTCAATCTTAAAGATGTTTATTTTTAAGTATTTATTCTTTTATTTATGATTACTTACTTTACTTTTTTTGGGCCCCTTCATGTTGCTTGGATTTGAATCAAATTTATACTCATTCCTCCTCAATGCTGCTTTTTACTTTTTTTCTTTATTCACGTATGCAAGTGTCAATGTTGCTGCTGTGAGAATTTCAACTACCTAACTAACCTACCGAGCTAACTACTTAATTGTTTAAATAAAAACAGTTGTGTCTCTGGGGTGCCTGCCCATCCATCAAGTGTGAAATTAAAATCCAAATAAATATTTGGATATCTGCTTATTAAAAAAAATGTATATGCGAGTGAGATGTTGGTTTCGCCACATTTTGACATCAAAATTTGATTCATACAGGTGTTTATTGGAATTCAAGAGGTTGTTGATGAACTGTTGCATTCAATCGTGAAAAGGCAATCAAATTGGTATGGGCACTTGCTTTGAGTTGTTTTAAATCACTATATGTTGCTTATCATCACACTAGGAAGTGGCCAAATAGCTGCTAAATTGGTAAGACTGAATAGCCATTTGCATCATTATACGCAATACATCTTTATTTATAATGGCTTCCACATGATAATAAATGCAATATTCAGTATCATTTGCATGAGACAGTACCGCGTCCCTCCTCCAAAATTGTGTGATTTGAAACAGAATGGGACAAGTTCGTGTGTGCTGAGCCTGTAATTCTTCACCCTTTGTGGTTCACACATACATAAGGATGCACAGAAAGATGTAATCTGAGTGGGCATCAGTTATCTTTTAAAACAGCAAACCTTGGAGGGTACAGCTAAAGAGTGAGTGGACTTACTTCCATTGGATACTGTTCTTTGACTTTTTCTCTATCAGGCCAATTCCCTCCAACACATTAGTGATGTCATAGATCCGCCGCTTCTGCCGTACTGCCAATGTGTCCGCTGCCTGACTCACAGAACGGCACATAAAAAGAAAGTGTATTTAAAAACTGTGTGAAATTTAAAATAATTAATACCCGAGAGCTGGCATACTGTTCAAACCAACACGAAGAACTGATGTTGATCAACTTCCTTCTGAACCAAAGTGTTGTGCCAAGTTTAGTGCAAAATAAAACCACGATAACCACAGTGTGTACAGGCATGTGTGCTGATAAGTCGATACTTGCTCTCCTGGCTGCAGGTGCATGCTCATACTGCTCAACCAGCATTTTTGTGTGGTTTGACTGAAAAACTAGAGGAAGTGGATAATATCTTGTAACTGATTAAGCACGTAATGTTACTCGAGTCAAATTTAACTCGTAGGGATACAAGGTTATAGTAAAAAGTCTATGCATTTTTGAGACAAAACCAAAATCACTTGAATTGAATACGAATGTCGTTTTATGAATCGATCATGCTGCATTGTCCATGTGTAAAGATACACTAGCTCAGAAAACAGCGACAAAGGCTGACCCACTTAGTGCACTTAGAAATCTGCAGGGGGCAGCCTGGAAAAGTTGAAAAGGTAATACTCCCAAACTTTGAATTGGGGTGCTTTCGGAAAAGTAAACACATTGGCGTTTGCGTTGAAAAGTAACCCGGATGTTTCCACTTCCGATGCAGCTATCGGGGATTCAAATCAAGACTGTCAGAAAGCTAGGCTATGCTAACAGACAGGCTAGCAAAAAGAGCATGAAACCTAACGACATCAAGCAGCTCCAGATGACATGTGCTAGCTAACAACAAAGACTGCTTTGCATGCTCACAGCTTTCAGATCCAGCACCCCGTCCTTGGCCTCCTGCAGCAAAGTTACAAACTTAGCGGTGAGTAGTCCCAGACTCTTTTCATGCCTGCTCGGTGTCTGTGGCTGCAGCGGGTCCCCCACAGCTCCCAGTTCAACCCGGCTACTGGCCATCTCTAGCTCCATCATCTCTCGGGACCAGCGCCGAAGTCCCCCAGCCTCCCCGACCAAAACCTCAGAAGCGAGCCCAGGAACGCACGCTCCGCCAACCTAGTCAACTACACTGAAGGACAGTGGTGCCCGCGGCATAGGAGTGTTTCACAGTTCTTTCCTGGCCGGGCTTTCTTCAAAAGATTTCAGGAAATCTACCAGTGTAAATTGAGGACGGCAATTCATTGAACGAGCTTTCGGTTGGGAGAGCCGTTGGCCACGCGATGTATGACGGGACTGTTCAACCAGTAGAGGGAGCGTGTATAAATGTCGAATTATTTTAAACGCGCACAAAAGCATAATAGCGGTAACATAAGCAAAATAAAAATGAATTTATAGTTTAAGAATTTCAGTAGAATACTAACATTTTTTGATGCTTCGGTTTTTTTGGTTAAAAGATCAATTTAAAAACGATATGTACAGCGCTATTTGTAGATGGACCTTAACTGGCCCAAACTTGAAGAAAACACTTCTGCGCCGGCGCCGGATGCATTGAATCTAGATTTTTTTATTATTTTAATTTATATGTCATATGTTTTTATTTTTCATTATTCTTTCAGTTTTTAAGAAAACCGCAACATAATGGAGATGACTGAAACTTAATTACTGTACATGTATGTTGTACTCCTCCAGTGTTTGGACTTTATTGCATTCGAACTATCTTCAAACAAAAATGTCACAACAAATATGAAAACAGAAAAAACTGATGGCCTAGGTTCAATTTACATAAAAGTTTAAATCTGGACCTGTTTAACTGAGCAGAAAGGCGATGTACATATTTATAAGCAATTATTCTGTTGCATGAATGGCAACAGGTGGGTGGATACAGTTTTTTGTACGTTCTTCAGTCCAGTGGAATAGCATGTAATTGTTCTGTCTGTCACAATAAGTCGCTTGCATGATAGATGTACAAGGTATATTTGTAATTAATATATGGCAGCTTTAGGACAAATCAAGTGCAGTTGTATAATTTACCCCGCAGCACCCCCGTGGTTGGCCGATACTACTCTGCTCTACTCTACTCAACTCAGCTCAACTGACCTGTATTTATAGAGTACTTTAAAACAACCACCGCTGTTTATAAAGTGCTGCACAGGGAGCAAAAATAATTCATGCAACAAACAATAAAACAAAAAATTAATAACGAATACAGTAGAAAGCACAAAAACAGTAAAACTAAAAAATCAAGGCTCATGTTGAGTCAAAAGCCACAGAATAAAAAATTGTTTTAGTTCCCTTTGGCACATTGTCATGGTCATAAATACAGTCCTGCACAGTCTAGCACAGGTTTTCAGTTTGTAGGAGAGGAGGATGAACTACGGTTGCATTACAACGCGATCTGCAAAAACTAAATTGAATAGAAATGTACATGATTCACTGGAGACACTGGAATAAAATGATAGATGTCAGTTTGTATTCGACGTTTAAAAAAAAAGGCATTTATGGCCACTAGAGGGCAGTCGTGCCCGTCGAAATTAAAGTCCAGGGTCATTTTATTTAAAAGAAAATCATGTATTTAATTAAACCATGTATCAGAATATAATGCACCCGAATAGATACAAGTAATAAATAAAACACACATTACTTGTCAAATAGGCAGTCGAAATGTAAAACACAAGCTTCACTAAATGACGAAAGTGCGTTTCCTGCTTGACGCTCGTCTCGAAGCTGTCAGCTGACTGGCTCACCAGGAAGCAAAATTTACACGGGTAAATATATGCGGTCTTATTGTTTTGTATGTTCACAGAAAAAAAGAAAACAAGTAAAAACAAAACAAAACAAAAAAAACAACGTTGATGCGTATGCCAACTGGCAATGTGAAAGCTAATCGCTTTTCTTTCGCCATTCGTTGTACTGTATCAAAAAAGAGCTAAATTAATAGCTAACGTGGAGCTTCTTGTATGAACAAACAGGACAGATCGCATCACTGAAATCGAACTCCATGCAGAACAAATGCAAAACACAAATTTAATTAAAACCGGTATTAACAAATGCCATTATATTTTTATTCATCGTGTTGTTGTGTTGATGTGTTGCAATGGTCACTCTTGACAGATTATTTATGGAGAAGTCAATGGCTATTTAGGATCAAGTTAATGCTGTTTATGATATTATTTAGCACGTCTTTGCCTTTCTTTCGATAAGCTAATATTGTGTGTGTGAAATGAATGATGATACAGGAGCCCACATTGTATACGTCATATTGAGCGTAATTGCAAGCTAAAAACAACAATCCATTATCAACGCTACTAGATTCGAATTGACACCACATTCATTACATTCATGTGCTGCTGTCCATTTTTTGTTTTCAGTTGAGATCATGAAGAAAATCAAGGGCAAAGCAAGTAACACGACTGAGAAGGAGTTTGTGTTTGAATTCAAGGCAGGGAAACACAACTGCGTTCTCAAGGTACCTTTGCTGTTTCCTGTTCAGGAGAACATCAGCGACCTTCATGGACGTCTGATGCTGCTCCATAAAATACCATGCTATGTAGAAAACGGTAAGTTAGCTAGAAACCAGTTGTGCAGCATTGGTAGAGTCCACATTTGTTTTTATAGCCACCTGCTCAAGTTATCTATGATGTATGGGTACTGTCCACCCCACGGCTTGCTTCAGTGCTGGCAGAGTCGGTTCAGGCCAGTGACGTTATGTACCTGAACGGTTGTCTGACTGGATATGTGCCCTGTGATTTCCTGGCGACCAGTCTGATTAATAGTCTGATTTTTACACAAAAGCAGGTGGGATAATTCCGTGTTCCCACCACCCTGAACACAATAGAATAAGGTGTATAGAAAATGGTTCTTGTTCAATCACCCCAGTGCAATTGATATTGATAAATTGCACTGAACAAATACATTAGCACTTTTACCATGTTCATTGTTACATGTAAAAGCCTGAGCAAGAATAATTTAAGGATTTGGTTTCTTCCATGCTGAAAGCAACCAAGCAAGAATAATTTAAGGATTTGCTTTCTTCCATGCTGAAAGCAACCAAACAGGCAACACCGATATAATCTGTCTTTAACCTGACGTTAATGTCCGTAACAGAAATTGGTAACTGATAACACATGCTACTATTTGATGTCAGTCATGAATCGACCTGAATGAGGGCAAGCACGATAGAAAACGCATGGATGGGTGTTGCTAGAGTATTGACAAGCTTACAACTTGTCAACGTTTTACAAAACACAATTTGACATGATTTGTTTTAGTACTCAATGCTTCAAATGCTTCTTTGGTAGAACTGAAAGTGTCACTGTCCAACTTCATTGAGAAAGAGACCATTTTGGACTACGACAGAGAGGCAGAACTGGCCCTGCAAAGACTCACAATGGGACATGTAGATGTGAATCAGCTTGCCAATGCGTGGACCAGTGCCTATGTAGAGGTGAGGACACAGATCACACCATATACGTTCAGCCTAAACCACCTGGATGTCAAATACAAACCCAATTCCAATGAAGGTGGGATATAAGGGTGTTGTGCCACTGCCTTGTCTGATTTCTGCCCCTTCATGAACCTGTAGTCAGAGGGTTTTGTCAACTCGCACATCATTAAAATCATGGGAACAGATGCAGTGTTGTAAAGCGCTTTAGCAAACTAATTATTGATGAGGCCTCTTTGTTGCATTTTGTGTCTCCCTGCTTGATTACGCTTTAGTGTGTCTATTCTCAGCGACATGTCAGTATTTAGAATTAGCACATTGTTTCATAGCATATATTACAAAAAAATGTTCAGGGGTATAAATAGTTTTGACACCTTGTCAGGCTGCCTCAACTTGAACTTTCAGGCTTCTTGCCTCCTGCACTTAAACATTTAAGACTAGCTTTTACGGCAGTCATTCAAAAATAACCATGGAGGCCTTCCAGTGGCCATCGTGATTCCTGAGCAAGTAAAAATAGAGGACTTCTGATTCTTTTCTATTCATGGATGCGGTATTTCCGTTGCTTGGGTTTTCTTAGTAGATCATTAGGTAAAGCCAAACACTTTTCATGCTTTCCTTTATTTTTGTCCGTCATTTCAAAGTTGGTACTGCAGAAACAGCTCACCCTCATCCAGTTTAATGACATATTTATTCCCAAGAAGAACAATAAAAATGCCTTTGTTTTCCTTTTGCTGTAACCATTTTAGACCACGCTAGAGCATGCTCGACCCGAGGAGCCCAGCTGGGATGAGGACTTTGCGGATGTTTACCACGAGTTGATCCATTCGCCTGCCTCGGATACGCTTCTCAACCTGGAGCACAATTACTTTGTCCGTATCTCCGAGCTTATCAGCGAGAGAGATATGGAGCTCAAGAAGATACAAGAGAGGTCAGTGTTTAAGAGGATGGAGTGCCCCACTCCGCCCCGTGGACTGTACATTTAAAAATGAAATTTGCTACATTTAGTTGCATGTTTTTTGAAAAGCTAAAAACATTATACAAATTCCTTAAGACTGTTAACACTTGTATTAAACACTAAACATTTTTTAGATGAAACACATAAAGGTTGACCTATTTTACTTTTACATCAGTTGCCGACGCAGAATAGTATTTTGTCATTTAAACACAAAAGGCTCTATTTTTTGGTGCCCGCTGCAATGGGTGAAATTTTCTTGTGGTGTTTTGCTGGACTAGTGCATGTTGAAGAGGGCGTTTGAGCTGTTCTGCACCCTTGTGGGAGGGAACTCAGCCAACCCCCGGCCAATCAAAGCAGCTCCCATCATTCCCTTTAAATTCAGCACATTGAGAGCCACACGGTCTAAATGGCACGTAGGTGCAGGAGATCGCTGCACGCAAAGTACCGTTAAGGAACTGCAAGATCACCTCCACTTGCGAATGATGTGAAGTTGGCCACTGTGGATGGGCGCAGTCAACATTTTTTGCTTTTTAACCTGTTGATTGGAACATTATTACAACAGTAGACCATTGAACAAATCAGTCACTTGAATACAGTGGGGGGGGGGGGACCACACACACAAAACATCTATTTACTAGGTAAAAGCTTTTTTTTGTTTGGATTAAAGTGAGAATTTTCAAAAATTGCACATCCACCCATCTGATTTTATGTTTATTGTTTTTGAAATAGTGCTTATCTTCATTAGTGTCGTGGGTGAACTGGGGCTTATCTCAGCTGAATTTGGGCAAGAGGCATGGTACGCCCTGGACTGTTCAACAGTCACTCGCTGGGTACATAGAGACAAACAACCATTCCCAGACAGGAAGGCCGAAGAGAAGAAATTTTGACCCAGAACTTAAGAACTGTGAGGCCGTCATTCTGCCACTTGGGGTGTGCAACTCCACACAAGACGATTCAATGCGGTTTTCGATACATGTGGTGCAAAATGATTCATGGACGATTCGATTAGAAAGTTTAACGATTCGGTTCGACTCAGTGGATTACGATTCGATATGGTACGGCTCAGTTCGAGTTGGGGATGATGCAATTACTTTTTTGTTGTCATTTTACATACATTAGAATGAACCTGCCAGTACTGTAAATGTGCCATTTCCTTCATAGATGTCTCCCTTTAATAAAAGATGATTCAATATTGATCTCAATATTCTTCAAAATGGAGCGATTCTTTTCGATTCGATACACTTGCAAATCAAAAAACAATTTTCTGGTTGAAATCGGTATTTGTTACACCTGTATAGGGCACCATTGATCTTCCCATTAAAATGCAATGTTTTTCTGGATAAGGTCACATACAAATGAGCCAGCTTTGTGTTTTGTTTGTTTTTTTATGCTCTGGGGCCGGCCACATAGGCAGCCTTTCCATCTGCATACACTCAATACTGAAGTTCCAGGGCTGCTATTGAGTTTAATGAATACATAATTATGGTCTCCATCTCAAAAAAGAGAGAGCAGCAGGTAATGTTTTCCATGTACTCTCATCATTTAGTCAAATGCTTTCATTCCCCCCAGACAAGCTGCAGAAATGGATAAAGTGATGCATGAGTTGGGGAATACACTAAGTGACCATGATGTGAATGCAGTAGCGTCCCAACACTTTGATGCACAGCAGGTAACAAAAAAACACTATACAGGAGCATACATAGTACTAATAGTAATTTTGTAATCATGCAATATTAGCCCAAGCCTTTTTAATTCCTCAGTTGCTGTCTCAACAGGTCCTGGAGAACAAGTGGGTCACTGAACTGGAGCAAGTGACATGTATTCAAAAGCAAGAATATCAAGAGTGGGTCATTAAACTACACCAGGACCTGCAGAAATCCAACAACAGCAGCCAAATTAAGTATGTTTGTATGTATTTGCGTACAATAGGACAAATTTCTTAGACATAATAGACTGCATGTATTTGCACTTGCGCGTCATGTTCCCATTTCTAAACTGAGCTGACAAAATTCCTGGGCTGATGCAATTTACAATAAAAAAAAAAAAAAAAATACCATATATACCGGTACATATTACTGTGTATGTGTCTATAAACTATATACCTCCTCATCTTTTATAAATACTATTGTCGTTAATTTGTATGGTTACCATCCAGTGAGGAGATTAAGGTACAGTCTAGCCAGCTGTCAGAACCTTCAGATTCTGGAGACCGGATGTTTGAGGAGCAGCCTCAAATGGAAGAAAGCTTCACTATTCATCTCGGTAAGCGCTTGACTTTGAGAAAACATCAACAGGATTTTAATTGGAATTTTGTATAGATTTAAATTTTAATGTGTCATACTCATTATAATCCCCCAGGGGGAATTTTTTTTTTGCAAAACTGTTTTGCAAACTACGCTGAGAATGAGATTTCACACATCCAGGCATGGAAGAAGCGATGTCAGAGTAAATGAGGTGCGCAATTAGTGTCGCAATTCTTGAACCGGTGCCTTGTTCAAGGGCAGTTGAACAGTCGTCAGATATCTAACTTCTATGATGTGGTGTTGCCACTCGATGGCTGTTACCTTTCACTCTGACCTGCACCACTGATATGTCATGATGGATGTCATAACCAAAAGCATCAAACCAGACATGGCACCTGTGTCACTGAACGCTAAAGGAGAAGGTTGGCGGTGTAAGAACATTAGCAAATTGAACATGAAATGTATCACAGAATAAAGGGTGTCCCCCCAAAAATGACATCATTTCGCAGGCTAATCATTTCGGCAACTCTTGTTGAAATAAACGTTTTGGTTTTTTTTTTGTATTTACTGAACGTTTGGAAACAGATCCAAATTTTCTACTTAATGTTTTCTTTGAACTGGTCTATGTGCCTCCTCGGCCTGCTAACATTGATAACCTTAGGCAGAGAATCACTTCCACACTGAATAATCTTACCAGAGACATGCTACAGCATGTTTGGCAAGTGCTGAACTAGCAACTTGACGTCTGCCCTGTCACAGGCGGTGCGTTTATTCAACACTTTTGGAATCTTTTCCAGAATAAACATGCAATGTTTAAATATGTAAACTCTTGAATTTCATTGAGCTAGACTTTCAAGATATTTTGTACCCTATTTGCTGGAATTGTTTTCATTAGGAGCACAACTGAAGACGATGCATAACCTGCGACTGGTTCGGGCAGATGTGTTGGACTTTTGTAAGCACCGACGTCATGGCAGCAGCGGAGCAAAGCTGCGACGCCTCCAAACGGCACTTTCGCTCTATTCGTCTTCACTCTGTGGTCTGGTACTGTTGGTCGACAACAGGGTCAACTCCTACAGTGGCATCAAGAGAGGTTAGATTACACTAGTCATTAGTTACCTCTGATATACAGTCTGTTGTGTACCGTATTTCAGCTCTCCTTCATGTTGGTGCATTATTTATTCGACCCTCTCTAGTTCAGTAATTTTTTCAGCTCAAGAACTCAACTCTCAAGCTGCTTGTGCTGTATTTAGCCAAAAATAATAGTCCAACTCGTTTGCCTTTCAATAACACATTAAAAGGCTCCTCTCTTTAAATTTAAGACGATTGAGTCGTGTGGGCATGCGTTTATGGAAACCATTTCAGAAATAATCCTGGTATAATTTTTTTAAAGCAAAAGTATCATTTAGGCATCATGTAATGATTATTGACCTAGATTTTGCAACGGTGGCCAAGGAGTGCACGGACTTCCACTTTCTCAGCCTGGAGGAGCAGCTGGAAGAGGTGCAGCAGGTGGTGCTCTATGCCAGAGCCCAGCGGAGTAGCAAGCAAAAAGATCAACCCGGTGAGACCTTTCACTGCTCTTTTTGTGAAGCCAGTACACGTGTAATCCACCAGATGAATTTAGTATGCTTGGCGAATGACTCGTGCAAAGAATTTGTTTGCGAAAATTGATGGATCTACAAAGCAAGACATTATTTAAATTCTTGACTGACAATAACTTCATCTGGCCTTATGAAGTAATCTCAACAATAAGCGCAGGTACATCCCAACAAGTGAGAATATCGAGGACACCGTAGTGCCACTTTGGCGTTGAATGCTACATTACTTCCAACTGAAGTTACATGGAAGGTTACATTTAGCCAATGGAAATTACATGACAAGCTTATTGTTTGACATCAGCGATCCATTGCCAACTCTTTCAAATTGTGTCAGTCATCCTGAGAGACCATTCATAGTTTTAATAACAACCTGTCTTTTCAACATCCTGATTGTTGAAATCTATGTCTTGCAGAGCTCCCCAGGAATGGAAGTGATGATAAAAGTAAAAACGTTGAAAGAAATCCATCGAATATCTTGCCAGGTGAAGGTTATTTGACATTATACAGCAATGTAAATTTCCAATCAAATGTACAGATTTCATATGTCTCTTCTTTGCCAAGGTGAATTCTATGTCTCGCGGCACTCCAACCTGTCCGACGTTCATGTCGTCTTCCACCTGTGTGTGGACGACAACGTGCGCTCAGGGAACATCACGGCCAGGGACCCGGCCATCATGGGCCTGAGGAACATTCTGAAGGTCTGCTGCACACATGATGTAACCACCATCACCGTCCCGCTACTGCTGGTGCATGACATGTCGGAGGTAAATGCAGTTGCATGGACTGAAACCTGAAGACATAACAGTATATGATTACCGTAACTGACTATTAATGGCTTCTGCCAACCTGTATAGTACAAAATAAAACATAGCAATTATGAAATCATGTTAAAAAGCAAAGTTTTAACTAGCCTCTGGCTGATGTGATGTCATGCCTCAACATGCCCTGTATAATTTCTCCAACTTCATTTTGATTCCAATTTTTTTTTTTTGTTTGTCATAACTAAGTCCTTATAACAACGTAAAGTCCCACAAACCAGTGGAGTTATAATTGATGGCTTCTGGTTCCACATCAAATTAGTGCAGTTCAGCAACGATTGCTGCAGATGGTACAGGCCTTCTCTTGTTTGTTGACTTTAACTGAAGTGGTGCGTTTCAATTCCAGAGTGTAACAAATATTTTGACACTAAAGTGCCTCACCTTTTCTGTTTTGGTTTTAACTTTGACCACACTTGAGGAAAAATAACACATAACAGAGAAATGTAGACGAGTGGAAAACGACCCTGCTACTTTTGAAGAGTGTTTTTTTAGTGAGCTACCTTTATAAACAAAACAACATCAATGTGCTACAATATTTGCATTCTGCTTGCTTGCCTTGTCTATGTGGCCCCTGTGATTGGCTGGTAACCAGTCCAGGTTGTACCTTAGCTCTTATCCAAAGTCAGCTGCGATAGCCTCCAGAATGGCTGGAAGGGTTTATTGGGTAATGGGGTTGGTAACACTTTAATTTTCCCCAATAAATAGCTTATCTGTATTTCAGCAAGTGTACATCGGATAGATATTGTTGTTGTGTTTCATTTATTTTTATTCATCACGGTGTGGGCTCAAACTATGCTGAAAACGCAACAAAAGTATCTTTCTTGCCGTAACCATTGAGTCAGTTTGAGGAAGTGTCACAAACAGACACGCAGCTTTTAGGTTTCGCTCATACTTTCTCATTTTTCTCAAGCAATTGTTTGTCTTGCTCTCTGCCGACAGGAAATGACCATTCCATGGTGTTTGAAGAGAGCAGAGCTGGTCTTCAAGTGTGTGAAAGGTACAGTTCTTAAAAATCTGATTGCATCTGTAACATCAACACAGATGAGTCATTACATGTACGTATTCATTGTTTTTTGTTTCACATTGATCATACTTTTGTGGGAGCCGTGTCCTGAAACATAGAGAATGTCGCTTTTCCACTCTACAATCCGGTGCATCATTGAGAACCAGACAGGCAATCGAAAACAACAATGGAGGAGAATGATTTGTATTTACTTCTTGCATTGTGGCTCTTGGCCCTGGTAAGGAGACAATTTTTATTCAAGAGCAGGACAAGGGTAGCGAGAAAATGGGACCTTGCATTTAAGATGAGCAAACCACTACAGCAACAGGATAAACCAGTGTTACCTTGTATGGTTATTGCTGTCACTTCTACTAGTTTATCCTCAAAAATTACCGGTACCTCAACTCATGTTGTTGACCCAGCACTTGACAGCTCATGGAGACCAATGACAGTGAATTGACACCACCAATAACTGAGCATGATGACAGGAAAATAGTACCTCATATTACCCGGTTTTGTCAGTGGAAAAGCAAAACAGATTCTTCTTTTTGTGGGTCGGGCACCTTCTCATTGTAATTTTATTGGCAGGTTTCATGATGGAGATGGCCTCATGGGATGGAGGTGTATCACGCACGGTACAGTTCCTGGTGCCAAGGGTGAGATGCGTGTACATTGTCTTATTCCACAGTTGTGCAGCCTTGTTCTCTGCACTCAATGTGAAAGCATCTGATCACATCATTAGAGTCAACATGGCTATTGCCAGCTTTCACAGAAAACGCCCGTGCCAGCATTTTGTCTCCCAGTCTTCTAATACTGTCTTGCTGAAGATGTTTGGTTATAATGACTGACAGGTCCCAAAATCAAGGTTGAGTGGTGTAAACACAGGAATAATCAGATGACTTGAAATAACACGACCCAAGTGAAAATACAGGCTGGCTTTTAATTATTGGCTGCCAGAAAAGCTCTCGCTCTCTGTTAGTTCAACCAAAGTGTATACTGAAGGTGTACACGAGATCACAACAGGCACACCTGGCTTTGCAGCACCTAACTTTTGAGTGTTTAAAATGCTCGCCATAAATCATAGATGAGAGAGCCTTACTTTGCCTTGACCCGTGTTTACTCTGTGTGCTAAATGTAAGCTTAGACACTCATCCACATACATGCGTGATAAGCATCGGGATTTACATGCAGCTGTCATGATTGACATAAATTTACCTTGAAATCCGCACCCCGTTGTTATGTCTTAACAACTGAAGAATGTCGCCACAAGGTTCAGATGCTTCGGCATGATGTGGCTTCACATTCTCAAAAATTCATCTGGACGTGGCCGCCTTGTGACACATGACATTTTATTTTCGGCTTTGCAGAATGTTTATACCTATGGGCTGTGTGGTTTGAGAGACAGCTGAGCCTATAGCATGGAGCCGTGTTGACACCGTAAGACTATAAAACCAGCGGCATCAAAAGCTCCGACTAAATCAGCTTCCTGTCAGCTCCATGCTCAGACAGGATTGGAAATAGCCCCCGCGAAACAACGTTGTGCCTTCAAAGAGACTAAATATATGCTGGGAGTTGTGTGTTGATATGTGTACCGATCAATACTTAACATTCTCGTTTGACGGGTGCCTTCCAGTTCTGAACATTCCCCCCCCCCCCCCCCCAACAAAAAAAATACTTCGCACACTTCCTATCACCTCAGTGCACATGATGCATTTTGTCTCATGGCTAATTTTCCATCTTTTTCGCGCTACTACGGAATACCCGTCCCTCATTTCTCATTGGCTGTGTATGTCTTTATGTTGACAGAGTATTTCAGAGGAAATGTTCTTCCAGTTAAGCAACATGCTGCCTCAGATCTTCCGTGTCTCCTCCACTTTAACGCTCACGTCAAAGCCCTGATGGGAACAGATGCACGACACCCTCAGCACCAGGGATCATCTCCTTAGCCTTTTTGAAGTTACTGTTTATTTTCTTTTTTTATTTTTTTTATTCTTAAATTCTGTGGGGAAGGGGGTGTGTGAACTTGAGAAAGCCCTTTTCTCTCCACATGGCGACCTTAAAGCGCTTACAGAGAGGCGAGGATCCTTTAGCAGTTTATTAAGCCCTGTTTATTTGTATTCTCTTTAAAGCTGCATATCTTAGTGAAAGACGACTGGGTCCCGCAGCTCGCAAAGCAGCTGCTGCAATTATCATTTCAACCCTCCAGGGTGCAGTGCCGCTGACAGACTTTTATGACATCAGCAACAAACCGGGTGCTCATGTCATGTCTTCAGAGCTGCTATCTGGAGCTTACACCTTTTGTTGGAGCCGCTGCAGAATGCTGCATCGAATGACATGTGAAGTATTATTGTTTCACCTTGCTGGTAGGCACTGTAAATAGCGTTGCATGAGCCATTAAAAAAAAAAAAAAAAAAATCTAATCAACTCAAACACTGATATTTGCTATGAGTAGAGGAAGGCTTGCTGAAGGCAGCTGTTATGCATGTATGTACTTGTAAATAGGTTAAAACCGCTACTCAATGATACTAAACAAACAACTGATGGTGTCCTGGCTGCTACAATATGACTAAAGCGACAATAAGTTGTCGCCTAGAGAAGAAGAAAGGAATGTACGCCGCCAAACTGAAGTTTAGTCTTCAGATGAAGAGACTCGCAGGATTTAACCTCCTTCTGCATCATCACATTGTTACTACACAATTTCTTGTTTTAATGTTGTTTGATGAACAGCAGTGACATTTCTTTTTAAACTTGTTGACACTGTCCAATATATTTGCAAGGCTGCCAGGTCTCATAAGAGCCGACAATAGTTTTTTTGGTTTCATTGTGCAGCAGTCAACCTCTGTTATGCACTTATTTGCCATTTAAGTGTACTGCACTGGTAAAGGTTTTCTGATGGCCGTGGTTTCATGCGACATCATTAAGAGTTAAGGTTGCATATGCACACTCAGGAGCAGAGTTTTACATGTTTACATGGTGTATTGTGTCTCTTCTCACCTTGGAATGACCACACAAGTCTGCCAGTTGGATTTGTCAAATCAAACAGATCTCATGGTGTTGTGGTTTGTTTCATTCACATCCCGAGGAAGGTTTCCTGCAGAGACAAGTGACGCCAACTCTTTGAATTCCCAAAAGATCATTTGCACTGGTGCAAAGATGAGCAGTATGCAGCTCTTTCATGCTGCATTGCAGTGAGCTTCAGTGAGTTTCACTCTGCTTAAGTGTGTTTGGTCCCTCCTCTCCACTTCCATGACAGCAGATGGCACTCTTTTTGAATACAAATAGTAAGTTAAAAAGGTTTCCAGTACTGCATTCGTTTTTTCTTATACTGGAGTGGCATTCAAACAGATGCCAGTGTTATTGTTTCTATATGTTAAAATACCTGTTGTATTATGTAATACTTTCCTGTACATATGCTTTTCACAAAATAATAACATACTTAAAGACTAAACTCTTCTAAATTTCTCAAGCTAACCCTATTACAGTTTCACCTTGTAGATGATTATGATTTATTGTTGTCATGCTCAGCGTGTCAATCGATGTTGATGAGTTAGCCAAAGGCACGTCACCTCTCCAGTCGTATTAATCCATATCAATCATTGAAATTTCCTTCATGCATTTTTAAATGGGTTTATGAACCCTTTGAGTTTGACTAAAACGTATTCAGTCGGGCAAAACGTTGGCGATCAGTATGTTGGGTGCGTCGATTAAGATAATTTATCGTCACCGGAAGACAATTCAAGCAAACGCTGCATCACATCGTTCATGATTACCACGCTCGGCAGGATGTGCGGAGGAAATGTCCTCACCTCACGTTACAAGTGTGTACAGTTTATCACGCTGCCATGTTGAAAACCGATTAAATTGTATGTTTTGCAGAGAGTTCTGCATTCTTAGAATTGGTCTCAGTGGTCTGCAGTGTTGGGTTTCCTTAAACAGAGCATCGAGAGTCTGTTCTATACACTTGACTTGTCCACGTCTCCCTCTTCTTTCAATGCTGTTTATGTGCACGAAAAACGAGGACTGAAATGTTTATTTTCCACAAACAGAAACCTATGTAATTAAAGCAGCTACAGAAGATTATGTGTTGACAATCAAAAATAACCATGATGCAATTGATATAAACCCCTTTGAAACAAGTCTTTATTCCCCTTTAGTAAACCCAGGATTAGAGTGAAGTTGTTCTTCATGGAGAGTAAGATCATCATCATCGTCGTCATCATCTCTCTCTCTCGCTCGCTCGCTCTCTCTCTCTTAAATATTAGGTTACACTGGAAATCACAGTCACTTACGGAAAGAAATTGGACCCAGGCAAAGATGACTGCAACCTGTCCATATATTTAACTATAGTAAATCTGAAATGTTAATATAAATGTTCATCGGTAGCTAGGCCACAATTAGAACCCACCCTGTACCATTACATAAAATTGTATTTAGATCGGCAGAGAATGATCTTTAAAAAAATGCCCCCCCCCATCAACAGAAAAATAAAATCCAACGGCAGGGATTGCTGACTTGAGCGAAAGAGGGAATGCATTAATTATTTTTAGTCAAAGTTCATCAACTTTTTAAAGTTGTATAGCACTGAAAATGAGACAAATTCCAAAACGTTTTTAAAAAAAATATTGAATCAATATTTCAAATAAGGCAAAAACCTTAAACCATATTTTAAAATAACTTTACCGAGAGCAAAACTACGAGGGTACATATACTACAATTCTAGAGCTTCTGCCTGGATGGTCACGAGGTCGATGTATGTTGGATGTTCATTTAGTGATTGAGGTATCCTCATGGTACTTTGAGACCCTATTCATAGCTGTAGTCAACAAATATAGTAACAAAAAAATCCGTAAGTATTTGGACAGCAGGATTATTGGGATTTTACCTTCATACAACACCAGAATAGATTTTTAATCAACAATCAAACTGGGATCAAAGTATATAGTTTCAGTTTAAAAGAGGTTTCACTGGAAGAGTTTCATCCATTTTTTTTTTCTGATTACATCCATTTTCTATCGACCCAGTTTTCATAAGATTATCCTGTTCAGGGTCATGGGGTAGCTGGAGCCAGTTGATGTCAGGTGAAAGGCAGACCAGGGGTGCAGTTGGCGGGGCATATGTCTCCCAACTTTCTGAGCCTGTGCCCTTTGCTGAACTCGTATTGTGGTTAGAACATCTGTTTGGGGGCCGGGAATGGGGAATTATTGGCCCTAGTATCACTTGTTGAGGTTTAGTTGAACTTCACAGGAGTTTCGGATGAGATTTCAAATCTGAGTTAGACACTCTTAATTTTGGGAATGACTGGTGTTGTGTTTGATTCAAAACATGTCAGGAGATAAGCAAAAACGTTGAACAGATTTCCCAAGTCCAAACTAATGATCGGCACAAACTATTTGTCTGTTTTTTTGGAGACGAAGGACTAAATCGGGAAGTATTCACATTAGAGTGGCTGAAATCAGAGGATTTGGACTTGTCAAAATAATATTTAAAAATGCTACCATATGCTTGCTGGCAAGTGTGATGTTTTGCTGAATTTTGTGTTCATTGCCACCACTGGGCATTTAATTATTTGGCTTTGCGACGCATTTAGTTCTTGGGACAGTTGCAATAAATGTCAGTAATGCCTATCGTTTTATTTATTGCATCACTCACGGCTCTTAATGGTTTCAATATAAAATTAAGGAGAACCACGACCCACTGGAGCAACAATTGTTTACATATTGAATATTTATTAATATTTAATGAGAAAACGGCTTGTTCAAACTCACAGCCATTTCTGACCAATAAAAATCGTTTAAAAATCACCCTCCTCATTTCAAACTAAATTATCATGAAACCCCCCCCAAAAAGGACATCAAAGATTTGTTTTAATGTGGGATGGGACCTTTAATAAGACAATGGTTTGGATTATTTTGTTTCTCTGAATCTGTTGCGTGATTGCCACTGCTCCCTGATTCGGATCCTCTGTGTTGCTTTTGTCCCTGACTTCAGTGAATCCATTAATCAATCAATGAAAGATGAATCAATCAACCTCAATTGACTTTGTTGTACATCTTTTTTATGTCACATAGGCATCGTTCGAAAGTGAAAAAAGAGTGACGAGTAGAATGTTGTTTTCAAACGTAGGGAGTACAATTAAAATGTCGTGAGAGAAATAATGCTTTCGAGTAAAGTACAGTACAGATACCTTGGGAAAAAAATACTCACACAGCCCAAGGTACTGTAGTTTAGGCCTAAATTCTGGTCGGTTCCTCCACGTCACAAAGCCATACGTTATTTTCGAGATGTAAACTTCAAGTATCCTTGCTAGAGAATCACATTATAATCGTACTGATACCATAATCTCGGCATGATGTCATGTTGGATTACCTGTAATATAATCAGATAAAGTGCTGGGGAAAATGAAAGCGTTTTCGTTTTCGTGACTTTCCAGCTCATTGACTTTGATTTATTTTGAAAGCAAAGAGCGGAAGTTGTACCTTTCTCCCTCTCTTCGCTTTGAATGTGGTTGTCAGTCACAGCTGGCTAGTTGGCTGTCCTGGAGTTAAGCAACATCGGTGTGTGAGCTGGGAAAGAGCAAGTCGCTGCAGGGATTTCTCGGAGCCGATCCGAGCGTCAGTAAAGGTGAGTGTTACGTTTTCTAACCTTCCCTCATTCATTTTACCTTTGATTCGCAACCGCTGTGATTGTTTTCGCTTTTTATTGTACGCTGCGCCCTTCTCACAATTGACGCTCGTATAAACGAAGCGCTGCTAAGTTGGATGAAACTTATTCATTGTACGCGGCTGTCGGACGACGTCTAACCGCGATGAAACCTGGCAAAAGTGCGAGTTGAAATTTCTAATTTGGCATCAACTCACGCTACGTTGTACGCGCCCGAAAACGACGCCACGAGATTTGATGAGCGTTGGTGTGTTTTTACCGCGTAGTAAATAGAGGGGACGTTTTTCGGTTTGAAGCTACGGAAGAAAGGTGTCATGCATCGGTTAGCTTCGGTCCAGCGGCGTGGTGCTTTTTTGCCCCCCCCCCCCTCCCCAACAGCCTGCGTCAGTGCGACTGGCGCTCATCCACGCACTATTTTGATCACGCTAAGTGTATTATAATGCCATTATATCTGCCCACTGACTTAAAAAAAGTGCTTATGTGACGGCAAGCCCTTTGTTTAAGTTGTGCGTAACATTTGACGCCGTGTTAATCAGAGCTCTGCTGTTGTGAATGAAAACAAGAGTGGAGGAAGGGACGGATGGAGTTTTGGTCCCTGACTGGAAAGTTGCTCCTGTTTTTGCAACATGTGATGCTCACAATCGCAATGTTTTATCCATAGGAAAGGCGATTGCTCAACCAACGCTCTTGCAACATTTCCAAGAAGTTGTGATTTAGACCCGTTTTCGTCACTTACGAAAGATGAATTAGGGTGGTGCATCCCTGTGTTGTGGCCGATATGCATTCACCAACGATTCGATACATGAGTTACTTGAGCAGCTATTGTAATGCCCCCCGCCCCCCATCAAGATGCGATGTGGTTCTGCTGAATTTGATCCAACACAACGAAATACGATTCAATTCCATTTGATACTACAATGCAAAGAAATGATGCGATGCGATTCAATGAGGTTTTTTTTCAACCACAAAATAACTTTTCTCCCAAAATATTTTTTCAGTTAACTGTACTTTTGTAAACATCTGACTCACCATTGCGATATTGATTTCAGCTTTTTACAACTGCTTGAAAAATTGATAACATGTGTCTCATTGGTGTTTCTGGAAACAAACACTGCCCGCTGTCATAATAATAACAGTAATAATAGTCAAGTAAGTGATACAACTTGGCTATGGTGAGAAACTGAAAACAGAAAAAAGATGAAAATAGAGAGGAAGTTACAAACTTAATCGGTTACATGAGGCAGTTTTTCACCTGACATGTTTATAAATTGAGGTAATGGTTCTGATTGAAATGAATGGAAATGCAATTAATCCATTCCAGCCCCAAAACTATAATTATACTTTTTTAAAACCGGTGTGTGTTTATAAATACAAATGATGCAATGTAGAAATAAGTGAAAACACCATTATAAAGAAACAAAAAAACTTAAAAAAAAACGCATGCTATTATTGTTTTTAAACTTTACCAGAGGAGGGGTAAAAAGGGAAAACATTCTTAAAGTGAGATATCACGTTATAATTTGAAAGAATATTTGGCTACAAATTTGTTTTGACCATTTTCACAATTTTCCTTCTTCTTTGGAGCCATTCTGACTGTTTAGCACTTTATTTTTTTGTTTGGCGAAAGTTCAACCTGTTGACATGGGACCAACTTCCGCATTCAATCATAAAACACCGCTATTTCTGACTTCGACAACTGGGTGAATTTGTTGTACGTAGCTGGAACTCCTGCCTCATGACACAGACAGCTATTGTGGCGTGATTACACCAACATGTCTTAATTACAGAGTCAGTACTATTCAAGAAATGGCATGCACACTAAATAGTGTGTGTGTGTGTGTGTGTGTGTGTGTGTGTGTGTGTGTGTAATCTATATATAAAAGTGGTTTTGAGACTTCTTTTACCATGTCACAAACGCAATTACCCCCACATTTGGATGATCATGGATGCGGAGGTGGAACATCAGCCTACTTATACAATGGCTTTCTGCAATGTAATGCAACGTTAAGTACACAGGGTTATACTCAACAAATACTTCAGTGTTTGCAACCGAGAGTCCTGCGTATTTTTCAAATTGAATCGACAATTTTTTTGTATTTATTTTTTTTAATGTGGGATTGTGTAATGTGGCAAAAGATGCCCTATTTTTGGTTCATAAACTGTTTCAGCATGAATGTGTTTGGCTCAGCACTTCATCATTGGTTTAACTCCATCTTTTTCATTGGTTTAAAAGTGTCTTGTTTGTGTTTGGAGGCAGCTGCGCACTATCAACAACACACATGATGCTGATGCTGGGGTCAATGTTTGTGTTCTGTTTTTTTAAATCAAACATTTTATCAAAGGCATTTGTTATTGATTATGTGTCTATTGCAATACTGTACATATTGTCGTAATAATATAATACTGGAAACATTTTTTGTAGCGCTTTTCTAAAAACCGAAAGATCCAATTAGGTTAAGATTTACTAGTTATTTCTTCATAAGTGTGTTTTCCCATATGTAGTAAATGTACTCTTTTTGTAACTACTCACAGATTAAAGCAAGGTAAATTCACTTTGTTCTCAGGCCAAATTAGGATATATTAACTGCATTTCCATTCATTTCAATGGCAAATGTTACCTCAGTTCACAAACAGTCATGAACACCAAGCTTCCACTGTGCCAGTCAGGTGTAAGACGTTAGTCACCATACAGCAACTTAAAAATACTTTGACATAAAATTTTGTTTGCAGAAGAGGGAAGACTGCTGAAGGCATTCTGACCTAATCAGTCAAACTATTGACTTTCTTAATTGTCATTCAGGTGTTTTAAAAAAGAAACCAACGAAAAAATTTAAATCACGCCTACTGTTCTCCACGCCTGCTTTACATGCTCCCTGCAAAAGTCACACAAGATAAATTGAAAACACCTTTGCTGCAATTTTAATTGTCTTTCTGTCTGAGAAATGAGGTTGCCAATATCAATATACTGTAGAGCCATGTGATGACCTGTGATCAAGTATTAACTGTAGAGTGACGTATTTGAATGTATTTTGTCAGTATTGGTTCGACAAATTTCCTGTTCGTCTTGTATACTAATCAGAGTGTTTATTTTTTTTCTTTACAGTAATCACTAAAAAAAGGGTGAGTTATTCTTTTGCTGATTTAACACCCAGGTTGAAAGTTTGCAATTACACACACATTTACAGGGATTCATCTCACTGTATAGAATTACCTCCCTAAAGCCAACATTCATAAAGAAACATTTTCCTTAAATTAAACCTTAAACCAGTCTTGCATTGGCACCTTTCCATTTAGAAACAGCACTACCTTGAGAAGCAAAAAGGTTCAAATGTGGTAACCTGTGACAAAGGGACATTTATTGTTTTCGTGATTTGCACTGCCATTAACAAAGACCTCTTCCCACTCTTTTCCACTCTCCATGGGCCACTCAAGCGGGTTATTTTACTTGAGCCGGCAATATGAACTCTTCTCTATTGTCCTCTTTGGCCCATATGGTGAACTCGCATCAGCCTCCTACTATTTCTGAATAGTAAATACCTTTTGTGGAGCGATCAGAGCCAACTCTGATCGCTTCACAAAATCAAACTGAGCTCTCTGGTGGTAATGGCAGAACCATCACGAAACATAAACAAACCGTGCACGCAATTCTGTAACATTTTTAACCACCGTACAAATAGATAAGATTTATAACAAAAAGCTGCCTATACAATAAAACAGCTCACAACTTGATGCTTGGTTGCTAAAGGCAATCTGGTTTGGGGGGGTTTCGTCTTTTTAAATTTTTTTTTTTTTTTTAAATTTAACATTATTTACCGTCGTACAAGTGGAAGAAGAATTTTGCTGCTTCATTCAAAACATCAATATTAATAGCATGACTGTGTGGTGGACATTCTATTCTTACTTTTGATCTATTGTCCCATACTGAGGAGCATGTATACCATATTTGTCAGTTGTCTGGTGGTGTCACAAAAAATAAATAAATAAACAAATAATACGCAAAACACACCTGTGGAGTTAATACGAGAAATGCTAATGCTCGACCAGCTGGCTGTATTCTCTTAGGGCTCAAATATAACCCCTCCCCCGAGCCCAAAGCAAGTACTGGGATAATCTCACTCTGTAGAGGACACCAAGCTACTTAAGCAGACTGAAGGTTTAGCAGTTCTAATCACTTCTAGGTTCTTAACCAAATTGCGAGGAGGAGGGCTTGTTGTGCTTTCCACGTGGAACTGTATTCTCTGTATTCTCCCTTTGCAAATGGTTTAAAAAAAATCAGGAAGAACCTTTACTGAAGTATCATTTCATATTGGGCCTCTTCAGCATGATTTTTTTTTTTAGGGATGTTCAAATAAAACACTCTTTCTGAATATAGGACTCATTTGTAATAAGTTAACAAAAGTGCAAAATTAAATTAAGACTTCTGCGAGTTTTAGTATTAGTTCAAAATAAATTGAATTGCAAAATAAACAGGTTCAACTGATACTATGACACTATGAAGTTTGAAAACAGGGCTGGACGATATGAAAAAATGATCGCTATATAAGTATTTCATATCAGCTGATATTGTTTGTTATAGAATTTTTTTTTTTTACCTATTCCAAAAAAGAAAAAAAAATGGATTAACGATAACGATATTCAGAGGAACAATACCATTCAAATTCTATTGTAGTAAAACTTGTTTTAAAGGAATGTGTACAACGTGCAATAGGGCCCAACGATTGATCATTTTGGCGGCCAAATCACAATTCCAGACAACAAGATCATGTGATGGTCAAAGCTTTGTTTTTTGGGAGCCCTCCTGACTGACCAACGTTGTATCAACATCTCACACACAAACGGCGTCTCCTTCCCACCATTCTCACCAATCAGAAACGGCATGCTACTCGCGACAGGACATGCACACCAATTAGCTCCGAGGTGCTGTTCGCGAACTGGGGGGGGGGAATACTACATGCGGCACA